GCATGAGAATGTATTCGAACAATCCGTAGCATGTTCGGAAGGCTGTCTTGGGGCAGTCGGGTGGGTTGACGCGAATCTGGTGGCAACCTCCCCTAAGGTCGATTTTCGAGAAAACCCGGGTTGTGCGCAGTTGCTCGATCAGTTCGTCGGCTCCCGGGATGGGGTAACGGGATTTAATGGTAACCCTGTTCAGTGCCTTGTAGTCTATGCACATGCGAAAACCCCCGTCCTTCTTCGTCGTGAACAGTATCGGTGCTGCGAAGGGTGACGAACTCCTGCGAATGAACTCCTTTTCGAGCAAGTAATCGAGCTGCTTTCTCAGTTCGTCCAGTTCGGGTTGGGTTAGTCGGAATTGTCGCTGTACTGTCAGTTGTGCCCCCAGTTCTAATTCTATCCTATGGTCGTGCGGTCGCTGAGGTGGCAGTCCCGTCGGCAGATCGTCCGGGAAAACATCACTGTAGTGCTTCAGATCATCCGGTATGTCGGCTAGCAGTTTCTGTAAATCCCCCCCTTTGTCTGCTGCCTCGGCTTCCTGAATGTCAACCGCGTACACGTCAGCTTCTGCCGCTACGGCGCATTTCATCGTGATCGCGTTGACACGCACCAACGAAGACTCAGGCGAGCCCCAGCGAGGTAAGGCGATGTTGTTACCATTCACACGCACGGTGCAGTCACCCGTCGTCCAGTCGATTCGCGGATTGTGTCGTCGCAGCCAATCACGACCGAGTAAAATGTCGGTTCCGTCGAGGCTAAACGTGAAGTTACCCCCGCATCAAATCCGAACACAGTCCACACGTTCCCGTATCGCCAGTGACGTGCTGTCGACCAGTCTTGCGTCGATCTCAGGTAAGCATCTGTCTAGTGGCAGTCTCAGTTTCCGTGCTGTAGTAGTGTTGATAAGGCTGTGGCTGGTTCCCCCGTCTACGAAGATTTTAACTAAGTCGGTCTCGATTTTCCCACTAAGCAGTATGGGGCTGTCTACCGTAGTACCCTCCTTATTTGGCCGGGTGTGGTCGATTGCGTGAACCGGCACAATCACTCGGTGAGGGTCAGTTGGGTCGGGCGAGCGGCGTGATCTGTTAGTAGAGGGCCCGTCTGCTACTAACTCCCAGCGTTTCCCTGCTGCTTGGTCTGTTTCTGCTGCTCGGCTTCCCCCTGTCCCTTAGCATATTCCGGGCATTCGCTCTTACGGTGTCCCAGTCGATTGTACGCAAAGCAGCGCCCTTTGAATGGTGCGGCAGCGGCGTTCGCGGCGACGGCACGTATTGTAGCGCCCTCATTCGTCCCACGAGACCGATGTCCCCAGTTGCTGCTTCCGTAGGACCCCGGTCTCGGTCGGCGGAAGAAGTCAAGTTTCTCCGCCATAGCGATAATTGTCAGAATGTTATCTTATGCTCTAGCCTGTAGTGGGTTCTCTATAGCGAGTACAACCCTTCTAGGGTTTGCTATTTGTATCCTCATTCTTGCTAGTGCAGCCCTCTTCGTTCTTCTAAACTTTCACATGGTATCAGAGCATGTCGATCCCCTTGGATCGATCCTGTGGGTGGGCTTACCACCTCCTAGCTTCCGCTGCAACTTCTACCACTACTCTCTGAGCCGCACGCCCCGTGGCGTGCGGCACATTTTCTTCCCGCCGTGCGCCCCGAGGAGCGCGGCGGTTCTCTGCCCGCTGTGCGCCCCGAGGCGCGCGGCGGGCTTCTGCCCCGTCGTTCGCCGCGTCGCCCTCTAGAGGCGCCGCGACGGGCGACGGGGACCTGCGCGTCGCTCCCCGTCGCCCGTCGTGGCCTGCGCGCGGCCCGTACAGGCACCGCGCGGCCCGTACGGGCTGCGCCATGCCCCCGAGCGGCCCGTACGGGCTGCGCCAGGCCCGCGCGCGGCCCGTACGGGCTGCGCCATGCCCGCGTATGGGCGGCGCCAGGCTCGCGTGCGGCCCGTACGGTCGGCGCCAGGCCCGCACGCGGCTCGGGCCGCCTGCGCGCGGCTCGGGCGTCTGTCCCAGGCACGTGGTGGGCCCGTACCTCGCTGCCCCTGCCCTCCCCGCTGTCCCCCCGTGCTTCTACTGGCGCCCCACCCCTCCTACTCCCCATTCTCCTGAATTAGGGTTTGGGGGTGAGGGGTATGGGGGTGACCTCACTGTGTGCTGTTCCTTGCTCCTCCTCCTCCTCCGTCTCCCTGTGCTGCAGCTGCCGCTGAGGGGGGGTGGACGTGTTGGAGCCGGTGGAGTGGTACTAAGGGGGGGTGAAGGGGGAGTGGAGCTAGCGGTGTAGCAGCGGGTGTGTGCCAGGGGGAGTGGGATAGTTTGGGGAAGCTGCATGGAGGTTGTCGTCGTGTCGCCAGCAGCACCTGTAGTCCGGGGAGTTGCTCCGGTAGCCCAGTCGTAGCCAGCTGTGCGAGCCGCCTGTGGGTCCGTTGCTCGTCTGCCGCTACTTTAGCCGCTGGGCCAATAACTCCAGTATTCCGGAGCGTTGTTCCGGTAGCCGCTGTGCCAGTGTGCCTCCAATTGCCCGTGTGTCTACAACTTCAACCGTCGCCTCCTATTTCCTCTCCTCTCACTCTCTCGCCTCCTCCTCACTTGCCCGTTGTGACTACCACTAGCTTTGCTCATAATTGTGAACCTTAAACTATTGCTTCTTGAACTTGTGCTCAGAATGTGTGGTGACATTGTGATCCACTCTGAGCTTGTACTGCTTCGTTTGCTCTGCTGATTACACCCCACTTTGGCTATGGGGGTGTGTCAGAATGTTATCTTATGCTCTAGCCTGTAGTGGGGTGCTCTATAGTGAGTACAACCCTTCTAGGGTTTGCTATTTATATCCTCATTCTTGCTAGTGCAGCCCTCTTCGTTCTTCTAAACTTTCACAATAATTTCTTGAAAATCGGTGACGCCGCGAAGCTGGATTTCCTGAGCGATGTCCTGCTTCAGGCCGCCGATGTAGCGGTTGATGCGCTCGCTCTCGTGCATGTAGCCTACTTGCTCGCATAGCGCCAGAAATCCGCTCGTGTAGTCTTGGACGGAATCGAGTTGGCGCCAAGTGCGGAGCTTCTGTCGCGCCGCGATCGAAGCCGCAGTTGGCTCGAAACGAGTGCGCAGACCTGCGCACCACGCGTCCCACGGGCGATACTGGGGCACCTCCATGAAATACGATGGCGCCCAGGGTCCGGTTTGTCCTTCCTGTGTCGCTAGAGTCGCGTAGTCCACCGGCTTCGTGACGATGACACGCCACCAGTCCATGGCGGGTCCTCGCAACAACGACACGGCGTAGCGAATCTTCGCCATATCCTCCGAGACGTAGTTCGCGTCGAAGAAGACATTCAACGTGAATAGCCACACCTGAACAGTAGGACCACCCCGCTGACTCGGGTCAAAGCATGGCGGACGCTGCGGCATCGGCGACGGTAGAGTTGATTCGCCGACAGGCACAGAAACTGTGACTCGAGGCTGACTTATGGCCGCATTCGTCGCGTCGGGGTGTGTCGTGCCGTGGTCGTCGTCTTCGTCGTGGCGGACGACGCCATCACTGGCCGCGCTCGCGGGTTGCCCCGTGCTTCCATGTTGCGATGTCTGTGGTGCAGGCTGTATCGGAGTGCCAGGTGTTAGGGATTGTGCTTGCCGTGCTCTTGCGATGTCGTTTTGCAGGGACGTGCGTTCTGCCGTCAGCGCCGCAATTTCTTCAGAGCTTTCGCGGATTTGCCGCAGCAGTTCGTTCAAGTGCCCCTGCGTGAGAGTAGCGACATCGATATGCTCGGCCATTGCGAAGGGCGTCGGCTTGGCTTAGTCTAGGCGCAGTCGTGGCTGCATGCGTTTACGAGAGAACGCGAGGACAGCGGCTTCTAGGGGCTAAGGTGTATGAGTCCCTTCGAGTGAAAAATCAAAAGTTGATTTCCTGGGGTGCGGAGATGCGCGGTCCGAAAAGAAAGATGCTCTGAATACTAAGTGTTACAAATGCAATGAATCGAAATAGCGAGAATTGCACTAAGGTGTCAAACGAGTACAAAATGTGAGCGAAGGCATGAGCGAACATTTATACGCGAAACATGCAAACGGTAACGCGGTGCGTGCGAGCTAGATAGTGCTATGCTGGCAGCGAGGTTCGGGCTAGTCCCGAAGCATAGGCCGACACGGCCAGGCCAGCAGTGCGAGGTTCGGTGAAACAGTGCGCGCGAAGTTGGCGAAGCCCCGTTTGCAGTAACGGGCGAACAACGGCTGCTGCTGTACGCGATGTTGCGGGGCGCGCTAAGGAATATCGAGAAAATTCCTTACAAACGTAAAACAAAAAGTATATGGATAAGAAGTTTCACAATAATGGGTTCAGTTCGTTCACGTTACGCAATAATGGGGTGTAAATCTGAACCTTCCAAAAGCCCACTCCCCAGAATTGCTGTTCCTTTTCTCTGACAGACGTATTTACGTCTCAGCATAACTAGGCCACGTGCCTAGGTAGTAAAAATCACTCTCTTACCACGCGCTTCCCCTTTTCTTCGTGTGGAACGCGTATCTTGCCCTTTGTAGCAAGCGAGAGTTCTCGTTCGTTCGCAGCATCACTTCAGGAAAATGCCTCCCAAGTCGAAGAAGGAGGCTCCAGTTGAGAGGCCCATTCTCGGTAGATTCTCCTCGCATCTTAAGATCGGTATTGTGCGTCTCCTGCCATGGCTTCTTACTTGCTTTCGTGATTCTTCTTATAGCAATTCCTTAAGCTGGTTACTCTTCGGGCTCCTCCTCATCCACCTCGTTTCACGGTCTTCTTATCGGCGTGACGACCGTCGTACGAGTCTCCGATCCTGCTTCACGATTTCGCCATGTCTTAACGTAGCATGAAGACCCTTCTGTTTCAGATCATCTGACACCTCCGTGATAGTGCATTTTCCTCGAGATTATTTTCAGAGTTCGGCTGCACCCTAACTCTGGTCAGATTCCGGTAGTAAAGTTCTCTTTCACCCGGATCACATTTACTCCTTGACTCGTAGAGCTGTCAAACTTGATCTTTATTTGACAGACGTAGATGCTAACCTCTTTGAATATCTTCTCGATTCTTTCTCTCCCTATCCTTTCCCCGTTCCGGTTCCTCCTACGTCAGGTCGGTCTACCCAATGTCGGCAAGTCAACGCTCTTCAACACGCTGACAAAGCTCTCCATCCCCGCTAAGAACTTCCTCTTTTGCACCTATCACCCCAACCACCTCTACATAAATTTTCAAACCAGGTCGGTCTACCCAATGTCGGCAAGTCAACGCTCTTCAACACGTTAACCAAGCTCTCCATCCCCGCTGAGAACTTCCCCTTTTGCACCATCAACCCCAACGAGGCTCGCGTCAATGTACCTGACGACCGCTTCGACTGGCTCTGCCAGCTGTTCAAGCCCAAGAGCGAGGTGAGCAAAACACTATCTGGTGTGACAGCAACGAGAGTGACACTATTCATTGTGATAGTAGCAAGTTTTGAAGGTGCATGGCCTTGCATCAGTGGAATTGTGCCCCTTGGTGTGTTTCTTGCTTAGCAGCTTCCAATTGCCCCTTAATTTCACCTCTCTTTCCGTCTCCCCTTTCGCTATTGCTGTCCCTCCCAGGTCTCCGCCTTTCTGGAGGTGAACGATATTGCAGGGCTGGTGCGCGGAGCCAATGAAGGGGAGGGATTGGGCAACGCGTTCCTCTCGCACATCCGAGCCGTTGATGGCATCTTCCACGTCTGCCGTGAGTTCTGCATCTCCCAATCTCTCCCAACCTCTTCCTTCTCCCAGCCTCTCCCAGCCTCTCCCAACCTCTCAAAACCTCTCTCAACCTCTCCCAGTCACTCCGTGCCCCTTGCACATCCCCAGCCATTCATGGAATCTATCATGTTTGCTGTATGTCATGAGGGTCCCTGTCTTTCTCGTCTTTTCCTAGCCTTTCCCGTCCTTTCCACTATTTTCCAGTCCTTCAACCTTCGCTGTTGCCAGTGGTAACATTTCGTCTTTTCTCTAGCACAGCTGATGCATGCGTCTCATCGCCCCTGCACTGATATCCTCTCACTCGACCATCCATTCCCTCTTCATCCTCTTCTATCCGGGTCCCTGTAGGTGCGTTTGACGATGCGGACGTGATTCACGTGGAGGATACTGTTGACCCCATCAGGGACCTGGAGATCATTCACAACGAGCTGCGGCTGAAGGACATTGAGTTCATGGAGCGAGCCAAGGAGGACTATGAGAAGCAGCTCAAGCGCAGCAACGACAAGCAGCTCAAGATCGACCATGAGCTCTGCCTCCGGGTGGGTGAAAGCGCCACGAGTATTATAGCGTGTGTGTGTCTTTGGGTGAGGCGGATGGAGGAGGTAAGGGAGGGAAAGCAACGACATGCAGTTCGAAAACGACCACGAGGTGTGCCTTAGGGTGGGTGGAATGTGAGGGATGGAAAGAGGGTGTGTGGGTAGAGTAGAAAGGGACCGCAAGGACAAGCAGTTCAAAGTCAAGAACAATTTCTGCCTCCGAGCAGCTATTGGAGCATCTGAACGAAGGCAAGGACATGAGGCTGAGTGGGTGGAAGGCAGCTGACACCGAGGTGCTCAACACCCCTCTCCCCCCGACTTCCTCATGCCCCTCTTTTTCTCCTTTCCGCTTCTCCCCCTTGCCAATCCTAGGTGCTGGCGCATTTGAATGAGGGCAAGGATGTGAGGCTGGGCGAGTGGAAGGCAGCTGACATTGAAGTTCTCAACACCTTCCAGCTGCTGTCTGCCAAGCCAGTTGTCTACCTGGTACGGATGTGAGGAGATGTTTGTGAATGACTGAATGACTGTAATAGTCAGCAACCAAGGCAGCTGACATTGAGGCGCTCAACACCTTCCAGCTGCTGTCTGCCAAGCCAGTTGTCTACCTGGTACGAACATTTGACCATGAACAAATGGATGTCACATTCTCATGCCCATCCAGTCTCCTCCAGTCATGTCTATGCTAGGTCTCCGCATCTGCGATACGGTACTTGCACAAGTTGTTGTTGACGTTCTCTCCCGTGTCATGTCACTCTTAACGGGACACAAATGGCAGGTGAATCTGACGGAGAAGGACTATCAGCGCAAGAAGAACAAGTGGCTTGCCAAGATCCATGGCTGGTGAGTGCCCAGTGTTTTGCTTGTTCTTCTGATTATTCGGTTGTTTTTGTTGTTTTCTTTCTCTCGTTTTTCCTACTGGAAATCCAAGTTATGCCTGCATGCACAAGAGATGTGCTTTGGAAAAAAAATCAGTCTGCCTGCCGCATCATCCCATTCAGCGGTGTGTTGGAGTAGAAGCTGGCAATGCCTTCATCATGCCTTACCTGTCATTTACGAGTCTGTTGGTATTGCTCCTGAGCACGGGCAGGAGTCCCGACACCATCACCTGCTTGTGCTGCGCCATGCTGTTCACTCACATCACAACCCAGCTACCTTCTCTTCTCTTCTCCTCTCCTCCTGCAGGGTGCAGGAGCACGGGCAGGACCCCATCATCCCGTTCAGCGGAGTGTTGGAGTCGAAGCTGGCTGACATGCCGGCCGACGAGGCTGCCACCTACTGCAAGGAGAATGATATCCAGAGGTGAGCGGTGATGAGGGGTGGAGAGAGGTTCATAGGTGAGCATCCACGAAGGTGTGTTGGAGTCGAAGCTGGCTGACGAGGCTGCCACCTACTGCAAGGAGAACGACATCCAGAGGTGAGGGGTGGTGAGGGGTGGAGAGGGGTTCATAGGTGAGCATGCAAGAAGGAGTGTTGGAGTCGAAGCTGGCTGACATGCCGGCCTACAAGGCTGCCACCTACTGCAAGGAGAATGATATCCAGAGGTGAGCGGTGGTGAGGGCTGGGAGGGGTGGAGAGAGGTTCATAGGTGAGCATGCAAGAAGGTGTGTTGGAGTCGAAGCTGGCTGACATGCCTGCCGATGAGGCTGCCAAATACTGACATCCAGAGGTGAGAGCGGTGAGGAGGGGTGGGATGCGGTGAGACCCGTGGAAGATGATGAGTAATGCAAAGACAACGACATCCAGAGGTGAGAGCGGTGAGGAGGGGTGGAAGGCAGCGAGGAGAGGTGTGCAGGGATGAGAGTTAGAGGGGAGTGTTGCTGCTGTGAGAGGAGTCGAGAGCCATTTCGTGTTGGGCTGAGTGGCCAGGACTCCATCAAGCCAGGCTTTTCTGCCATCAATCTGGTCAACTTCTTCGTGATTGAAGAAGTCTCAAGCCAGGCTTTTCTGATTTGAGACGTCTCAAAACACTTCTTCAATCACGTGGACTCCATCAAGCCAGGCTTTCTGCCATCAATCTGGTCTACTTCTTCTCTGCCGGGCCTCATAACGTCAACTCACTCCCTGTGCCCCACCCCCCTTTCCTCTTTCACTCACTTTCTTCGTCCCCTTCCCCCCTTCCCCCCTCTTCTCCCCGCCTTCCCCGCCTTCTCCGCCCCTTCTCCGTCTCTTTGCCCCCTCCCCAGTGGTCTTCCAAAGATCATCAAGACGGGATTCGCAGCCATCAACCTCATCTACTTCTTCACGGCTGGGCCTGACGAGGTCAGTATAGTTCCTTGCACCAGGTCAGCTCATCTCCTTACACCAAGGCAGCTCACCCCCTTGCACCAGGGCAGCTCACCCCCTTGTGCCAGGGCAGCTCACCCCCTTGCACCAGGGCAGCTCACCCCCTTGCACCAGGGCAGCTCACCCCCTTGCACCAGGGCAGCTCACCCCCTTGCACCAGGGCAGCTCACCCCCTTGCACCAGGGCAGCTCACCCCCTTGCACCAGGGCAGCTCACCCCCTTGCACCAGGGCAGCTCACCCCCTCGCACCAGGGCAGCTCACCCCCTTGCACCAGGGCAGCTCACCCCCTTGCACCAGGGCAGCTCACCCCCTTGCACCAGGGCAGCTCACCCCCTTGCACCAGGGCAGCTCACCCCCTTCCACCAGGGCAGCTCACCCCCTTGCACCAGGGCAGCTCACCCCCTTGCACCAGGGCAGCTCACCCCCTTGCACCAGGGCAGCTCACCCCCTTGCACCAGGGCAGCTCACCCCCTTGCACCTGGCCTGGAGCAGCAGTGTGGGCAGATTTACAATTTCAACATTTTTCAGGCGCCTCTTTGCGAGTCGACCAATTTTTACATGCCTCGAAGTCCTGGTTTAGGGTTATAGAGAGCGCAAGCTGTCCAAGGCGTTACAAGCAGCAGGAGAGATCGCAGTGGCCACTGATTCCCCCTTTCCATTTTGCTCCCCTTTTCCCTTCTGCTCCCCGGTGTTTTCCTCTATCCTCTCTGCTCCCCTCTGCATGCTTGTGCGTGTACCAGGTGAGGTGCTGGCAGATCCGCAAGCAGACCAAGGCACCGCAAGCAGCAGGGGCCATTCACACTGATTTTGAGAAGGGCTTTATTTGTGCTGAGGTCAGCTGCCTGTTACATTTCAAATATTTAGCTTTCCTTCGGGGTTTTTTTTTTTTTTTTTTTTTTTTTTTTGTTCTTCTGCTTCAAACTTCTTGATTTTCATTTTGTCTTCGATTAGGGCCCCTTCTTTGCAATTTTGTGCTTGTTCACTGCTTTATTGTTTTTTACTCATGCGCCATTTATACTGCGCGTCCTGATTTTTTTTTTATTATCAGGTGATGAAGTTTGAAGATTTAAAAGAGCTTGGATCGGAAGCTGCTGTCAAGGTAAGTTGATTGCTTTCCCTGTATCATGCATGACCCCTTCATACAAGCTGCCCTATCTGTACAGAAATTGAATTCGTGTCTTGTGAATTATGCTGTTTGCGTTGCATATCATGACAGGCTGCTGGCAAGTACAAGCAAGAAGGGAAGACATACGTGGTTCAAGATGGAGATATTATCTTCTTTAAGTTCAATGTCTCTGGGGGTGGCAAGAAGTAGGCCTCCCATTCTGAAAGATGCTGCTTGTGAGGCAAAGCTATAATAGCAAAACGTAGATTCTGGTAATTTTGTAGTGATTATCTGTAGCAATTCGCTAAAATTACAACGGATGCGTTTGAGTGCTATTGTTTCGACTTTGCGCCAACCTGGCCAATCACGTCTGCAAGCGTGGCAGATTAGTTTGCGCCACTATCTGGAATCAGGGGTTGATGTGCAACGTGGACAAATCCACTCCCGCCACTGCCTGCCCTGTCCCCTTCCCCCTATTTTCTTCCCCCCTCCCGTTTCCTCCTTTCTCTTCCCGCTTCCCCTTCCTCCCTCACCCTTGGGATTCCCGTTCTTGCTCCCTCCTTTCCCCTTCTTTTCCCCTGCTCCCCCCTTCCGCTCCCCCCTTCCGCCCATCATCCTCTCCAGCACTCCACTGCTGCTCTCTTCCTCCCGCTGTTTCTTATTCTTCCCAGTCGTGGTACTTTGAATTTGGAAGCAGGTTTGTTGGTGATTCAAAAGCCGCAGCGGAGTAGCAGCACGTGAAGGGAGGTGTCAGGGCAGGGAAGAGCTTTCCTGTGCTTCTTTTCCTAGAGGAGGCTTGATTTCGCTTGGCGAAAATGGCTGCTGCCGCTTCGTTGCTGACGAATCAGATCGCTTCACTGAGCATCAGGTTAGCTCAGGGTGCTGGTCAACCTTTATAGCGATGTGATCAGCGTTTCCTTGGCTTCTCTGGGAGGCCTCGTTCGGGGCTGTGTTGATGCGACTCGGTTGGTCGCGTGCATTGGTTAATGGGAATTCTCAGCAATGTATTCTCACATGCATTTGTCAGTTGCTAGTTCGCCAGTTCGGTTCGTTGCTTAGCCCAGTGCCAAATAATGAGGGGCGTTCAGTCGAAAAACGAAGCCTTATCATGAATGCGGAAATTAGGGTTCGCGTCTCCATTGTGCGGTTTAGGCTTTTTGCCGCTCCTGGCATGCTCGCGTTCAACCATGTTCCGTCGCGCGTCGCACTCTTCACATGGCTCATTTCGCGCAGCTCTTCCGAGTCAGTTGAGTGTTTCCTAAGCCGTTTAGTCCCCGTTTGTAGGAAAGGAATGTAGGAAAAGCCGCACGTGCGACCAACGCCGTACAGACAGTCCACCTATCCGCATGCCAGAACGCATCTCCTCCACTCCACTTCGTGTTGTAGGCGTATTTCGAGAGTCATCGCTGTTGAGGCGCTTCAGAAGTCGTCTCCTCCGCTTTCGAGTCCATGGCCGCGCTCATACACTCTCCCCTGCCCACTTCTCCCCCTCCCCCCACCCCCCTCCACCGCCGCACCATGCGTCCCTCATTGTATCCCATCCCCCCGTATCCCTCCTCCATTCCGTCTCGCAACCCCGCCCCCACTTCCACCCGCGTCTCAATCCATCAGTATGTCTCATCTCGCACTTTGACCCGTTCCGAGACTTTCCATATATCCGCCCTCCCCTTCTCGTGTTAAAAGAGTTGTTTTGAGACGTCTCAATCCATCAGCATGTCTCAACTCCCACTCTGACCTGTTCCGAAACATTCCATGATTCATCATATCCGTCCTCCCCCCCTCCATCCCGCCTCCTCCTCCATTCCATCTCCTCTCCATCCCCCCTGCTTCCCGCTTCCTTCCGCCTTCGATCCCCGCCAAACACACCCGTCGCAGGCCATCAGCACGCCTCAAGTCCGAGTTTGACCACCAGTGAGGCGCCACATAATTCATCTCATCCCATTTCCCCTCCATCCCCCGTCCATCACCCCTCCATCCTCCCTCCCTCCCCCCTCCATCCCCCTTGTGCCACACCCGTCGCAGGTCATCAGCATGCCTCAAGTCCGCCTTTGACCAGCGGTGAGAGTCTCATGATCAATTCTACCCTATCCCACTCCATCTCCCCCCCCCCCCCCCCCCCCCCCCCCCACCCCCTCCTCCTCCCCCAATACCCCCTCCATACCCGCTACCACACCCGTCGTAGGTCATCAGCATGCCTCAAGTCCGACTTTGACGGCCGTGCTCTCACACTCTCCTCGCCTCTCGTCGCCGCGGCGCCCTCCATCCGCCGCCGCGCCGCGGTCGCGTCAGCCGCTCCCCCCGCCGCCGCTGCCGCCGCGGTCTCATCCGCAGCCCCCGCCGTCGCCGCGTCGTTAGCGCTCGATGATGACGTGGACGCGTCCAGCCGGCGGTACCCGCCGTTCGCGGCATTCAGGATCCACGGCACGGGCAGGAGAAAGACGGCCGTGGCGCGCGTGGGCCTCATCGAGGGCAACGGGGAAATTTTCGTGAACGGGCTGCCCCTGAACGAATATTTCCAGAACCAGGCGCTCATGATCCAGGTAGGAACAGCGGGCGGTTTTGAATTAATTCGGGAATGTGGGAAGGAAAATGGGCCGGGTATAGCGGGAAGGAATGCCTTGAAAAGGGGAATTGACGGTCTGGGGGGTAAAGGCGGTCAATGGGGGAATGGCGGTCAAGGGGGAATGATGGTCGAGGGGGGAATGATGGTCAAGGGGGGAATGACGGTCTAGTGGGGAGTGGTGATCAATGGGGGGATGACGGTTAAAGGGGAACGGCGGTCAAGGGGGGAATGGCGGCCAAGGGGGGAACGGCGGCCAAGGGGGGAATGATGGTCGAGGGGGGGATGGTGGCCACATGGGTCAATGGCGGTCAAGGGGGGGATGACTGTCTTGTGGGGATTCGCGGTCTTGGGTTAAATGATGGTCTGGGGAGAAAAGGCTGTCTAGTGGGAAATGGGAATGGAGCAGCTCTTGAACCACCGAGAGGGAGGGTGTGAAGGGTGAGAGGAGCTAGGAGCAGGTAGAGGGCCACCCGCACCAGGCAGTGAATCTGCGTCTGTCCTCGCTGGGCTGCAAGGCTAAGTGCGATGTGTTGGTGGTGAAGGCGCACGGAGGGGGATGGCCGTGTGTCATCTCATTGGTGGAAGGGAGCCCTACCTGTCCCCAACCACCCCTATCAAGCGGCGAAGCCGCCTCTCTGATTGTTGGACTATGAGGGTAAGTGCGACGTGGTAGTGAAGGCACATGGAGGGTGGGAATGCAATCTCTTGCTGTCATCTGTACCTTCCCCATCACCTCTCCGCCATCTCTCCCCTACCCTTTCCAAATCATCCCTATCAGGCTGTCAATTTGACGCTCTCATCGCTGGGCAACGAGGTCAAGTTAGATGTGGTGGTGAAGGCTCATATAGAGATGCCTATGCCGTCCCCTCATTTTATTTTCTCTCTGTTCCACCATCTCTCTCCCAACTTTCCCCACCAGGCTGTCAAGCTGCCGCTGTCCTCTCTGGGCTATGAGGGCAAGTACGATGTGGTGGTGAAGGCGCACGGAGGGGGCCTCAACGCACAGGCGCAGGCCATGGTTCTTGGTATCGCCCGTGCCCTCGTTGCTGCCAGCGCTGCCAACCGCCCGCCCCTCAAGGCCCAGGGCATGCTCACGCGTGATGCCCGCTCGGTAGAGCGCAAAAAGTACGGACTCAAGAAGGCCCGCAAGGCTCCCCAGTTCTCCAAGCGTTAAATGTGGAGTGGGGTTTGGGTGGAGTGGATATACAGTGGAGATACAGTGGGGATGTTGGGTGCATGCAGTTTAGTAGGCGAGGATGAATAGTGGGTTTCATGATTCTTTGTATGGTTGTGTCAGAATGTGCTTATGAATTGTCGTCACTTTGCTACTAAGAAAACTGTTGGTACAAGAATAGAATCAGGACTAATAGCATTAAGGTGAATTTAAATTGGAACCCTAACTTCAGCATGGAAGCCATGCTTTGCTTATAACAGAAAACGTTTTTCGCATGTATTAGACGTCAATATCTCTCAGCTTGATGGAGGAGAGCAATGTCCAAAAAGCTTCACTCGACGTGGAACTTTCATTGTGCGCCACGCTCCCCCTCCTAGGACCTTACTGGTCCCCACCTCATCCAGTCCAGTCAGCTCCAACTCCACGTCGGACATCCTGGCTCGGAAAATTCCGCGCCTGGATCCCCAGAACGGCGGGCACCGCCAGTTATCTCTCCGCGCCCATCAAGCCTCCGCCGATGTCCGACCCACGCGCCCTGCTCGATCGATTCGCGCTTCCCATCTCCGCGCGCCTTGCCTTGCATTGATTGGCAGTGTCCCTTGAGCTGTTTCAGGCTCGCTCTCCAAAATAGACAAATCCAGCTGAACCGAACGCAAACAAAACAAAGCCGACTACATTCAACTGTACCGAACTTATTAGGATCAGCTCATTGGCGGGATGTCACACGAGCTCGATGCTCCCTCGGAACCTTAATCAACCGCGTAAATATATCACAAACTCGCTCTAGAACGCACAGCACCTAGTTAAATACTCACCCACCCAACCCTTCCTCCTGTACTTGCTGCTGCTTGTTCGCCTGCGTTCATTCCTCCCTCTCTTGCTTGTTCATATCTGCTAGACCTTTCCTGCTGTCACTAACTTGGTAGTGAAATCCAGTGCGTGGAGGTTACCTGAAACAGTGGCCTGGGGTGCCTGTTTCTGCTGACAGCAACTCATTATCTCTTGAATTAGCATCAGGCAGCTAACAATGGCGGCATTCTCGATGGCTTCGCTCCAATGCGCGCTCCCGCGCGTCTCTCTCTCGCAGTCCGCGGTCGCTTCGCCCGCGCGCAAGCCCGTCGTGTCCGCCGCTGCCGCCATGGGCGCGTCGTCGTCGCGCCTCTCCGCGTCGTTCAACGGCCTTCGCCGCGATAGCCTCATCAGCCAGTCTTCCGGTAGGGTTATAAGCGGTCAAGAGTGGTGTTAGGGATAGGTTTCGAAGCAGTCAAGAGTGGCTGCTTCTGTTCACCTCAAGTTTAGGGTTACGGAGACACCCCGATGCTGCGATAACGGTTTCATCAGAAATGAACGAAGAATATTTTTGCGGCGTCTCAGAAATCGGTAGTTTAGGGTTATGGAGACACACGAGAACTGCTAACTTCACCATTTCCGGTGGGAGACGCAGGAACATAAGTACGGACTGCCGCTGCCGTTTGCTAATCTCTCTCAATGCGTGTCCGCATGGCTGGTAGCTCGCCAGCCGGCCGTCATTTACGTTCTGGGCTAAAAGAATACAGAGTGTTTTTTTACGCGACCTAAGTATATGAACGCTGCTGTCTCTCCAACAGGACTGAAATAACGGCCAGGCAGCTCTCGAGACAGCGTCGATTGGCCAGCCTGAAGGTAGGAAGTTGAGACGGTTTTGAGGTGCCTAGACGATCAATCGGCCAGCCTGAGGATAGGAACGCACGAGCCGAGACGCCTCAGAATTCGGATGGGCGTAAGGGATCAGATAGGGCTACACAGGCACGGGGAAACTGCTTTGGCAGCATGCGGACATGTGTCGAAAGGGTTAGGGTCACAGAAAAACTCGTATTGCAATATAGGGAAGAAAAAGTTAGGAACGGCAGGGGCCTAGCCTCAGCTGCAAAATTCGTAGCAGCACACCTCACGAGCTACCTTTCAGATCGGCCTTACAGCCTCCCTCCTTCACCCTCCCCTTCCCCCATCCCTTCTGCCTCCCCTCCCCTCCGCCCGCCCTGTTCCCTTCCTCCCGCTTTTCACCTTCAATCCACCTAGCTTCTCTGTCTGTCTTCCTTATCCTTCCCTGACCCCCCTCCGCTTTCTATCCTCTCCCTTTTCTCGCTTCCCTTCCTCCTCTTCCCCTTTTTCCCTGTCTATCGGCACGAGTTTCAAACGCTCGTTTGAATACGGTGTAGTGAGGTGCTTTGCGTTGTGACGCTCCAGCGGTTGAGCAGGGTGTGGAGGAAAAAGTGAAAGCTTGGGACACTGCCTTTTGGAAAGGCTGAAGTCATTTATCTGAATCTAACCCTTACCATGACTCTATCCCCTCCCCCACCATCTTCTCCTCCTTGTCACCCTTCCTTGCCCTTCAGAAGCCTCCCTCTGAGGCACCTTTACCTTCCTTACCCTAACCATCTGAATTCCCCCCCAATTCTCCCTTTTACCCCCTCATTTCCTCCCACCTCCCCCCCATTATTCCTTTTCCCCTTTCATTCCCCCCCATTCCCCTCCATTCTTCCCCATGCTTCATACGTCTTTCTTCATGGCTCCCCTCCATTCTCCTCCCCCCCGGCTCCTCCCCTCCTCTCGCCCTGTCTCCTCTCTGCAGACCTCTCCCCCCTCTCCTCCGTCCTCCCATCCAACGGCTCGCGCGTCTTCGCGATGCGCCACGGCCGTCGGATCGCGCGGCTGGGTCGCCCCGCCGACCAGCGCAAGGCCCTCCTCCGCGGACTCACCACCGAGCTCCTCCGCCACGGCAGAATCAAAACCACCGCGGCGCGCGCGAAAGCCATGCGCAAATTCGTGGACCACATGATCACGCTCGCCAAGGGAGGGAGTCTGCATGAGAGGAGGCAGGCGCTAGGGTTTGTGTATGATAAGACGCTGGTGCATGCGATTTTCTCTGATGCTCCGGAGAGGTATGCGGAGCGGGAGGGAGGGTACACGAGGATTATCAGGACGATGCCGCGACGGGGGGATAATGCTCCCATGTGCTTTATCGAGCTGGTGTAAGCGGACCAGGGGAAGCAGTAGGGAGTATGGCAGGGGTCACTTTTAGTATGTTGGAGGAGGATAAGTGCAGCACAGCAAAAGCAGGAGTGTCTGACAAAAGGGAACAGCAATGTACTGGTTTTCTAAAAGATTTTACATCAGCCATGAATACAGGTTATTCAGTCTGCTATATAACTTGTTGATCCATCCCTGTTTTTGCTAGAAAATCCTGCTGAGATCTAAACGAGGTGGACAGAACACCCAAAATTGTGATATTGGCCAAACGATATAAGCTACACTTGAGCAGGCATTTATGTTGCGTGAATGCCCAACTACACAACAGGGTAGCTAGGCCCACAAAATTGCCAAAGTGGATACATTCACTTGGTACTACAAGCATCCAAGCAACCAGACTCTTGTTTATTGGTTGAAGAGGAACCGGAAGGCTGGGAAATTTGACATGCACTCCCTGCTCGCCTGGTGCGCTGAGAATGAGATGGTGAGTAGAAAGTGCTTACGAGGGAAAGCCAATGCTCCTCCTCATGTGCTGGTAGATAGATAGATTAACATCTTGTACCACAAAAACGGATCAGCTTCAAGAGAAGATGGCAGCAAGGGCGTTTTGGATGTTCCTGTATTTGAAACGGAACCCGAGGCTCTCTGTGCGCTTAGGCAACACACGCTGCCCGTCCAGCACCTGCAAGAAACAAGAGAGGCAAGGAGAAAGAGAGGGAGACTTTGATTCAGCTCAAACAGCACATCAGACAACCCCAGGCTCCCTGCTCACTCGGGCAGAGCCTGCTGCCTGTTCAGCACCTGGAAGAAACAACGGTGGGACGGGAGAGACACAGTTAGGTACGTCTCTCTCGAAGAGGCACCTATTACCACCATCGCTCCCTCCCTTCCCATGGCCATGCCTCCCTGCCCTAGAAGCCCAAAGCGCACCTAACAACACCCTTCAGCTATCTATCTCCCTCCCTCCCTCCCTCCCTCCCTCCCTCCCTCCCTCCCTCCCTCCCTCCCTCCCTCCCTCCCTCCCTCCCTCCCTCCCTCCCTCCCTCCCTCCCTCCCTCCCTCCCTCCCTCCCTCCCTCCCTCCCCGAGAACCACCTTCCCCCATAAGCACCTACCACCATGGCGCCCTCCCCTAGAAGAGCCTGCATGGCGAAGTTGGGAATGGGAAGACACGATGGGCGGTGGTAGGTAGAGTCCAGTCCAGCCCATCGCCTCACAGGCTATGTGCAGTACCGGCGGACGGGACTGGCGGTGCAGTGGTACCGTTGCGCACCGTTGAGCACAGTTGAGCACCGCTGGAAACACCCAACCACCCACCCACTACCGTATCTCCTTCCCCTAGAAGCACCGAGTACCACATAAGCACCTAACACCATGACTCCCTTTATTAGAGGAAACATCACTCACCACCATGACGCCCTCCCCTGGAAGTGTCTTATGAGACATCTCAAAAGCCCTCCAACCCCCCCCCTCCACCCCCCCACAAAAGGCACTCACCACCATGGCGCCCTCTCCAAGCAGCGTCTGCACAGCGAAGTTAGGAACAGGCAGCCACGACGGGCGGCCGATGGCCGAGCCCAGCGCCTCACAGAACTGCGCCATGCGGGCGGGGCTGGGTGCAGTACCGTTCAGCACCCCTGTAAACTCCTTGTTGCGCAGGGTTTCAATGATCAGGGCGACTAGGTCGTCTCTGTGTACCCACGACATCCTGATGGGTGGGTGGGATGGCAGGTGGGGAAGGGGTGATGGTTGATGCATGAAGGGGTATTAGGAGCTGGGCGCCTGTACTGGGTGGAGGGGGTGAGGGGAATGTGGGTATGTTGATGAGTATTGGGAGAAGGGGCAACGAAATATGAAGGTTGGTTGGTGGAAGGGGTTATGGTGCTTATACATATTCGACTAATGTGGGATGGCCGTGCGTGGTACCATTCAGCACCCCCGCAAACTCCTTGTTGCACAGCATGCCATGGAGTTGCGTCTACAAGAGTTGCTGCCCCGTTTCTGGAGTCTACGTGGCAAAGAGCTGGAGGGCAGGCAGGATCTTTCCCTGCACAACCCCGTCTTTTTAAGACATCTTTTTTTTTTTTTTTTTTTTTTTTCTGAGACGTCTCAAAGATGGAGGATGGGCAGGATCTTTCCCAGCGCAGCTCGTTTTCGAGAATTTTCAAAAACACCCTGCAGCTCCGTCTCTTGTAAAAAAAAACGCACTGCAATGCCATTCACCATTGCTGCCCGGTGCCAAGAGGGCTGCCAGCAAAGAGCTGGAAAATAGGCAGCATGTTGCCCAGCGCTTGTTTTTTAGAATTTTGGACAAACCAGCTCTTGCCTAGCGCTTCCCCCATCTATTGTCCAAAGTAAAGCACTGTGCATCACCCAAGAGGCCCTCCGGCAAAGAGCTGGAAAATAGGCAGCATCTTGCCCAGCGCTCGCCCACCCTTGTCCAGCACAACACCACAGCAGAATTCGGCAACGTGCAGCACACACATTAAAAAGATTCACTCACCACTGCTGCCCCGTGCCTAGAGGGCCTCCAGCAAAGAGCTGGAAGATGGGCAGCATCTTGCCCAGCACTCCCCCGCCCTTGTCTCTGCCACCTGCCCTCCCGATCACAACACATAAGGCCCGAAACCCTGAGTGTCCACCCACCTACCATGGTTGAGTGAATATGGGGAACTCACCACTGCTGCCCCGTGCCTAGGGGGCCGCCTGCAAAGAGCTGGAAGATGGGCAGCATCTTGCCCAGCGCTCCCCCACCCTTGTCCAGCACAACTCCACTCCACTGCAACATTCCCCAACCCGCGACACACACATTCAAAAGTTTCACTCACCACTGCTGCCCCGTGCCTAGAGGGCCGCCTGCAAAGAGCTGGAAGATGGGCAGCATCTTGCCCAGCGCTCCTCCCCCCTTGTCCAGCACAACTCCAAAGCGGATTATAGCGAGGCGAGTCGAGTCAGGAGAGACCTTCTGTGCCTCTGCCTCCCACTTGGTGCACACCTGACAGGAGGTAAGGAGAGAAGGAAAATAAGGGGGCTAGTGAAACGGCAAGTGGAAGCTTTTTACGAGTTGAGCGAGAGCGAGGGTAATTGGTGGTTGGGTCAAGCGAGGGGGTCTCCCCCTGCCTCCCCTCTTGCCCAGCGCTCCCCCGGCCTTCTCGAGCACAACACCAAAGTGGATTATTGCAAGGCGAGTCAGGAGAGACTTTCTGCACCTCTGCCTCCCACTTGGTGCACACCTGGTGTGAAAGAGGAAGAGGAGGAGAACGGGGATGGGTAAGTGGGAATACGGGAGAGAGTGGGGGTTGACCCGGGACTTTCTGCACCTCCGCCTCCCACTTGGTGCACACCTGGTGTGGTGAGAGGATTGCATTGGTCACAACAAGAGAGGAATGGAAGAAGGGCAAGTGAACACATTCAGGTGGGGAGAGTGGGGATTGGGTCGAGTCAGGAGAGACTTACTGTGCCTCTGCCTCCCACTTGGTGCCCACCTGGCAGGAGGGGAAGGAAGCAAGGAGAGAAGGAGGAAAATAAGGAGGTTGGTGAAGCGGCAAGTGGACGCTTTCAGCAAGTTGAGTGAGAGAGGGGGGCTGGGTCCACTTGGTGACTTTTGAGTCGACTCAAAAGTCACTTAGGAGGAACAGCAGGGGGTTGGTGAAGCGGTATGTGGACGCTTCTAGCAAGTAGAGTGAGAGAGGGGGGCTGGCTGGGTCCACTTGCGAGAGAGTCACTGGGTTAAGCGAGGGGGTCTTCCCCTGTCTCCCATCTTGCCCAGTGCGCCTCCCCCCTTGTCCAGCACAACATAACAGCTGATTATTGCGAGGCGGGTCGAATTGGGAGAGACTTTCTGTGCCTCTGCCTCCCGCTTGGGGTGCACATCTGGTGAGAGGGGTGTTTTGAGACGTCTCAAAACACTGCTTTTTTCACTTGGGGTGCACATGAAAAAAGGAGTGTTTTGAGACGTCTCAAAACACTGCTTTTTTCACTTGGGGTGCACATCTGGTGAGAGGGGGGCTGGGGGGAGAAGTATGGGGCTGGTTAAGTGAGAAGACGGGATATAGTGGGGGTTGAGTTGAACTGAACTGGGCGAGACTTTTGGGGGGCTAATTAACCGGGCGAGTGAGCGAATCTGATTTTTGAGGGGTCTAGAAAAAACTTGACGCGCCTCGAAGATAGAGTGGGGGTTGAGTTGAACTGAACTGGGCGAGGCGTTTGGGGGGCTGTTAAGGGGGCGAGTGCGAGAATCTGATTTTCGAGGGGTCTAGAAAAAAGATTGAGGCGCCTCGAAGAGAGAGAGTTGAGTTGAGTGGCTTTTGGGGCACTGTTAAGAGGTGAGAGCACGAATTCAGCAGAGACTTGGGTGCGAAAGGGGTTGGGTAACAAGCGAGTGAACACATCTCGTGAGCGGAAGAAGGTCTTGAACGAGGAAAGAGGCTCACAGCGGAAAGTAGCACCAAAGATCATGGGCACGAGGTCGTTTTTGAGGCGCCACAATGCAGCAGAAAGAAGCATCGAAGTCCATGGGCACAAGCAAGGCACATAGGTACCTGAGACTCAACTTCAACAGCCACTTGCCTCTACCAAAACACCACCCGCCATTTCAAGTCGAGGTATGCTATGAAGTGACTTTTGAGGCGCCTCAAAAGTAGGCTCAGCTTCAGCAGCCACTTGCCTCTACTAAGACACCACCCGCCATTTAAAGTCGAGGTATGCTATGAAGTGCGTAAAACAAATTGAAAAAAAGGAGGAGCTTCTGTAGCAATCTTACCTCCGCCAGAAAGTCGTTGCCAGCCGGGCTGCTCTCATCATAAGTGGCTGTTTCACTCGTTCCTGATGAGCACATTCACAAACAGACACGTGGACACATGGCAACGTAGACATATGCACCCATGGACACACATGGACACATGCACATTATGGATTTCGCAAAATAGAGCAGAACGGATAGCGAGTGCAAACAAAATGCAGATTTTCCAGACTGTAGACTCCAACAAACAGTAGGTATTCTGCTCC